CAAGGGTATGCTGATACTATAAAATATTATCCATCGTATGATGGTATAAATTATACTTTTTTTTAAGCAAAGGAATACAACAGCGGAACCAGAAAAGCATTTTAAAAAACAAGTAGGTGTACACTGTGGTAGTTATGTTCGACATGATGGCGTACTTGAAAAATACATGCAAGCGACCTGTTTGTGTCCCTATTAGTATTACAGGTAACACTATTGAGTGCACATAGATTCTGCTGCCTATAAAAAAAATAAAGAATAAAAATATAGCCGTATTATGTAGAGTCTCTTATAGATACTAGTGTTGCGTGAAATAAGAGGGTACATGGAGACGTTCTATTTTTAATGAGTGTCCGTTGGCATGTCTTAGAAATATTCTTATTCTGTATTTAATATTTATAAGCAATTCCCCATTCTTAGCACTAAGGAGGAGGGGGATTGGTTTTTTATTTATGGTAGTGTTATGCGACAAATCGAGAGCATTTCCAATCTTCTTTTTCTTTTTAACACACTACTAAAGTGCAATACACCTTTCGGGTTTGCACCTGCCAAAACTACTTCTTTCATCTTTTCTTATCCTCAGATCTGTGACCTCTTAGTAGGCGCAATTACCTCAATCTCTTCATAAATTTTCCCAATTTCTTTAATTTCAGTGACTGGATTATACGACCATCTTTATAAATAGGCATCCATAAGACCTCTCCTAAAATAACAAATCCTATCTATTCTTTTACTAATATTTCAACACTTGACTTATTAGTTTTATATTATTATTCAGCTCTATATCATCTCTGATTGATCCGTTTTATTACATTTTATCATGTATCTTTTATTTATAAGCATATAAGCTATACTTAAATCCATTCTTTAACAGTTCAGCTTCTGTTTAAACTAGCTGTGGTGCTCACTCAACTCGCAATTATAAAGGACCTTCTTAACTAAACTCTATTTATTTAAAGAAATACCTTTATACACGCAATACTACTCGCATACTCTATAGTCAGTAGCCACTCAAAAATAAACTCAATGCGTGCTACTTGTAGCGTGATAAAGAAAAAAAAGAGGATTACAGGTAAGGCATTATACAGCGCATCATCGACATACTCATAAGAAAATAATAAACAACTGTTACCCTTGTAGCAAAAGTAGGCTTAAAGAGGATAGTTTTGCAGAAAAAAAAGGTAGAAAAAAAACAATAGGATCAATTAGAATTCTTGTCAGAGTTTATTGATGTTAAAGTTAACTGAAGATTTTAGAAGAGGAAAAATAAAGAGTATTTATAATAAATGGAATGGACGAGGCTGAGGATACTACTCTTACAATATGAGTATGCTATCATAACAATATCTATATTGGACAATTAGTGCTACGCATAGTCAATAGAGAAATAATAACAATAACATGTCTTAAGTTTGGACATTGGTGTTACGATACCGTGACACTTTAAAATAGTGACCGCTTTAGCGAATTCCTTTTTTATGCCTGGATCATGATTTAGCTATCATTTATCAGTGATGATGAGATATGAATTTATTATATGTACAATCTATACTGTGTGATTTAGCACAACCCTTCCACTTTTTTATTTATTTAATGTACTAGTTGTGTGCTTTGTATAGCCCATAAGATAAAAGTCATTAAATTAAGTGTATTTTTAAAAGCAGGTGAGGTTTTATTTTTATTATTTTTCAAAAACTGATTATAGATCAGTATCCCACGCCCCCTTTTTTTCTTATCTATTTCTAGCCTGAAGTAACAAGACTTTTATCTTCCCCCTTTAAATAGGACGCTATAGGTAATATGTGTTTTTATGTAATGGCCTGTGGGATATATGCGCCAAACCAAATTAAAAGCTACATTATTTACTACGTAATTAAAAAGAATTGTAAGTACATGACACAAGGGTTCATAAACATAACATATAGCTTACTTTATTCTGTAGATCCAAACAATCATCCAACAATGATTATGTATTGTTTGGAAAAATTTAACATTAATTTACATATCCAAGGTTAGTTTTTTTTATTCTTTTAAAAAAAAATATTTATACATGTACCTTAACATGTACCTTAACATGTGCCTTACCATGTACATAATCAGGTCAATCAACGGAATTACCGGTCGAAGAAAGACCGATGGCCACGCCAAGAAAAAGAGTGGTAGTGGAAGAGGCAAGTTCCAGTGGTTCTTATAAAAAACAAAAAAATCCCAGCAAGAACCCCAATATTAATGATGAGGCTGGCTGTTCTGATTACAATTCAGATAATAACAATGATTCCGGGGCTCATCAAGTCAATGATGCCGTCAAAACTAAAAAAGCTCCAGTGGTTCAGGAAAAAAAAAGTCATCTGACTTGGAGTTATTAAATAATAACATCCAGTTTATGATTAACGAGAATATGTTGATGCCGATAAAGATTCCTGTGGCTCCACAGTTGACGGATGAAACAAAAAATCCGAAATTAAGGTATTCGCTCGTGCTGTAAAGGATTACCATGATAATGGTATTTCATTTGGTAATTGGGGTACTACCATTCAGTACTCTGGATGCTTTCGTTTTTATTGCTTTGGCGAAACTTTGAAAAAGGAATATCCCGGATTTCACGCTACGTTTGTGGAACTTTTAAAAAGTAAATAATCTCTATTTTAAAGAAAAAGATACCTATCTAAATAATTTATATAATAGAATGTGATTACACCCAAAACAAGATTGCCCAAATGAAAGTCGCCGGTAAACGATTCAACACCCTGTTATATTACTTCAAGCACGGTGCGTTTGCAATTGCCGCGTTATATTCGACAAACGCGATGAGAA